TGGGTGCTTGAGATCGTCAGTGGCCTCGTGAATGACTGGGCAGCTGGGGCGTCGGTGGCATTGGATTTTGATGGCTGGGGTGGTTTCTCGGCTTCTGAGGTAATGATGGTTGCTGCTGCGACACTGACTTCTGGAGTAGGGCTGACCGGTCTTTGGGTGATCAGCTCCTGGCTCTGCTCGTCTGAGGCTGCGACTTCTGGTGCTGCCGGGACTGGCTTCCTTGGTGAGGCGGCCTTCGCTGGTTTCTTGGCTTTGCTCATTTTGTCAGGCAAGTGAATAGGCTGTACTGATCTGGCGGCTATCGGGTGGTCTGTGGTCGTAACAAAAATCAGTTATTTACTAAGACTTAGGCTTAATATAGACAAAATCTGCTAAAGTTGTTTAATTATCTTTAAAAACAATTTGCAAATTTTGAAACACATAAACAAATTTAGACGTCAATATATTTCGTTATAAAACCATAAATGTGCGTTTAAAAAAAAAAAAAACAGTTCAAAAATATCAATTATGTTGAAAACTATGCAAGATACTGTATTGTGCTAAAAATATAAAAGCTTTAAAAGTGGTTTCCCTTGTGGAGAAACAGTGATAGTGTTCTGTCCCTTACATATTTTTTCTAATTTGGTTCTCGTCAAAGACCTAACAGCATAGGCAAAATGGTAAAGTCGGGAGATATGAATCAGCGTCATTGCACACGGAACTAGAACTCTTCGTTTGGTGCTGAAGATGCTGACGGAGCGCTTATGGGAGTGTCGCGGTTGCTGTGATTCGATTCTTATTTCAACATTCTTTCTTGAGTAAATTGGCACTATGTTAGCAAGAGTACCAAACAGTAGGACACTTATTTGGCCTAGAAATCTGAAAGGTTGCCAAAGGCTCACTTCTTCTTCTTACTCTTCTTCTTCTTCTTCTTCACTTCCTCTTTTACCGCTGTGGGTGTCGAGGGAGATATAAGGTTCTGTTTCTAGCTCTTCTGGCTGCCTCGACCATAGGCACATCGTGCTGTTGTAGAGTTTCTCTGATGTTATCCTTCCATCTTGTTCTAGGTCTACCCGTGCTCTACGTCCTTCTTCTCTTTCCATGTATGCTTTGTATGGTTATGGTGTCACAAGGCATTCTCTCTAAGTGGGCAAACCATTTCACTTGCTGTCTTTGTATGTAATTTAGAATTGGTTCTGTGCCGACGTTTTCTCATATGATCTCATTCCTGATCTTATCTCTTATGGTCACTCCTACAGCCCTTCTCAGACATCTCATTTCCATGGTTACTAATTTTCTTTTATAGTTTGTTGTGAGTGACCATGTCTGGCACTGGTAGCACAGAGTTGGAATAAATAGGAAAAGGCACTTATTAGTAGCCCTGCTCAGCAGTCAAACATTTCCAATCAACTAAAAACAAAATCCGGGCCGGCTACGAAACAAATAATGACTTGACCGTTGCTGGAGCTACGTCGTTCATGGTTTGTGCAATTTTATGACATAAAAACATGCTTCGAGTCAAAGGCAACGTTGTGTGAAAATTTGAAAGCAATCAGTTCAGTAGTTTCCGAGTTTATAGTTAACAGAGTCGGAAAATTAACATTTATGTTAACATAAGATGAAGAAGTTACACCAATATGTTCAAATCAGTTTCCCAGTATGTAAGCTACAACCGAAGTGTAGCCTGCAAAAGATTTTATTCAAATAAGTCAATTTAGGTTATTGTAACTGAACAAAATCAGTTATTTAATAAGACTTAGGGTTAATATAGACAAAATCTGCTAAAGTTGTTTAATTATCTTTAAAAACAATTTGCAAATTTTGAAACACATGAACAAATTTAGACGTCAATATATTTCGTTATAAAACCATAAATGTGCGTTTAAAAAAAAAAACAGTTCAAAAATATCAATTATGTTGAAAACTATGCAAGATACTGTATTGTACTAAAAATATAAAAGCTTTAAAAGTGGTTTCCCTTGTGGAGAAACAGTGATAGTGTTCTGTCCCTTACATATTTTTTCTAATTTGGTTCTCGTCAAAGACCTAACAGCATAGGCAAAAAGGTAAAGTCGGGAGATGTAAACCAGCGTCATTGCACACGGTTATAAAACATAAGTGCTCTCCAACCAGTATGGACAGCTGATAAGAAATTGTCTGCCTGTGTCGCCGTTTGCACGTAACTCCGTAGCTACAGCGACGTTCCTCCATTTACCTCAGAGTGTTAAGTCTGGTACCCATTTCCTAATAGGTCAAGTGATCGAGAGACGTTAATGTTGGCTTGGTTCTATGAGTGATTTTTGCTCCATGACATATCTACGGCTCAGGGCTACGGAATAGTTTTTTGTGGGTGTTTTTTTTCGGAAAAGAACCCGTTTTTTTTTTTTTTTTAAGGTAAAAAAAAAGCACAGCAAAAATACCAAATTGTTAACATTTTAAAACCGTTCCATACTGGCTACGTTAAAGTTAATAAGAGTTAAAATTATTTGTCCATGACAGTGCTCCACCATTTTATTTTCGTCTTGTTTGTTAGAAAGCTGTCGTGACGGCTTCTAGTTGGTGCAGTAAAAGGTCCGTGAGCAATATCTTGTCACCTCAACAAGACATTTATTGTCGAAGTCTTTCAACAAAAACCGACTTAAAAAAAAATAATATTGATAAACAGAGAGAAACACTTTTCAGCTACAGAGGAATCAGATAACGCAAAAGATCTTAATTGATCCTGGTAATTGGTCATGGTAGTCGTTTCCTGCCAATTTCAGTCAGCTCCTTTAATGAGCAGTGACTCTATCTTGGCAACGTTTATGTGCTGCGTGTTGTAACGCTTAGTTTGGTCACCATCTAGTCGGCACGCTGCAGTTGTCGGTATCAGGGCATCCACCAGGCACACCGTCTCGAAACAAATTGTAGCCGCTATTGAGTTACTAAAGACAAGGCCCCTCTCAGGGTCCCCACTTAACGTCTTTTTGGGGGCTTTTTTTTTCGCACCATACATGTGTATGTGCGTGAGCTGAGAGAGCCTTTTTTTTTTTTTTTTGCTTTTTATATACATATGTATATATATATATATATATATATATTTATTTTTTAAAGACAGGTTTTTTCCTGCCAAACATGGTTAAAGAGGTAGAGGACATTAGTAAAGCGAAGATCGGAATACATATCTGAAATCCTGGTAATTACCTCCTGTGCCAGTTATGTATGCCAAATCGTCTGACTGACTGACTTTCTACCCCACCAAGACACCACACAAGCGATAAACACCCGATTACACAAAGTGCCATCATGTGGATGAGGATCACCGTGGAGAGGTCCCAGAAACCGCGTTCAGACATTTGGCCATAATGATGACCTGCTTATATTGCGGCTCCTGGCAAAACATAACGTCCTAAGAAGGACGTAAAACGAATAAGGCTGACTTACTGACTTTCTACCCCACTAGGACATCACACAAGCGATAAACACCCAATGACACAAAGTGCCACCATGTGGATGAGGATCGCCGTGGAGAGGTCCCAGAAACCGCGTTCAGACATTTGGCCATATTTATGGCCTGCCTATATTGCGGCCCCCAGCAAAAGCCAGGGTGGAGCTTCAAATAAAAAATTTCATCCTGAAAAGGACAATAGAGATTAACTGGTAACGAATAAGGTTGGATTGGATTGGCTTTTTACCCCACCAGGACATCACACAAGCGATAAACACCCGATGACACAAAGTGTCACCGTGCGGATGAGGATCACCGTGGAGAGGTCCCAGAAACCGCGTTCAGACATTTGGCCATAATGATGACCTGCCTATATTGCGGCCCCTGGCAAAAGCCAGAGTGGGGCTTCAAATAACAAAAAATAACGTCTTAAGAAGGACGTAAGGAATAGTAAAAAAACGAATAAGGATTGGATTGGATTTTTTACCCCACCAGGACATCACACAAGCGATAAACACCCGATGACACAAAGTGCCACCGTGCGGATGAGGATCACCGTGGAGAGGTCCCAGAAACCGCGTTCAGACATTTGGCCATAATGATGACCTGCCTATATTGCGGCCCCTGGCAAAAGCCAGAGTGGGGCTTCAAATAACAAAAAATAACGTCTTAAGAAGGACGTAAGGAATAGTAAAAAAACGAATAAGGATTGGATTGGATTTTTTACCCCACCAGGACATCACACAAGCGATAAACACCCGATGACACAAAGTGCCACCGTGCGGATGAGGATCACCGTGGAGAGGTCCCAGAAACCGCGTTCAGACATTTGGCCATAATGATGACCTGCCTATATTGCGGCCCCTGGCAATATTTTTTTTTTTGACACGCTTGGTTGCGTGTATTAGAATAAAACTATGTACACATACTGCAATATTCACTTTTTTTTAAAAATCCTGTGCCACCAGTGACATCATTTGCTTTCTACTTGACCCATTCATGATATTAATTTTACCAGTGTGGGGCTTCTAATAACAAAAAAGTAACGTCATAAATAGGACGTAAGGAATATATATCCGTTAATTTGAACCCAGCAATGTAACATGTTTCTTGCGCAGTATTTCTGTATACACGCTAATAGATAATGACTTGTGTAAAAAGTATTTATACATTTTTAGAGATTTACATATATAATTTATTACCTAATAATGTAAAATTAATTAATCTGAAATCTTTAACAATTTGCACGCAAAGCACCAAAATATAACTATCTGACACCAATATGCTATTGCGTCCCTTAAAAAAACTTGTTTATTTCCCCTATTTTCCCATGAAAAGCGGTTATTTTGCTACAATAAAAGTGGAAGTCAGCGGTTCTACGGAGATTTCTCATATTTCAACGCCTTTCTTGAATTTAATTCATTGATTACAAATATCACTTCTTCTTCTTCCTTTTTCAGCCTTTATAACCCCCCAATAGAGTATAGGCACTCAGCCAACTCACGCCAAATCTTTCTATCTTTCACTGTCACATGTAGTGTTTTCAATGGATGACACAGTTTAACATTGAGTTTTTTTTCCTTTCCTATGACAGGTGATTCTTGGCGGGGGTCGGGCCTACTTTTATCCTGAAGGTTTTGCTGACCCCGATCCAGACCCCAGTTTTGACCCCAGCAAAGTGAGCAGGTTGGACAGGAGAAACTTGATAGAGGTAAATGTGTTTAGTATTTTTCACTCACCAGCTTGTAGTCTCTCTCTCTCACACTGTCTCAGTCATTCTCTCTCCCTCTCTCTCATTCTCTCTCAGTCACACACTCTCTCAGTCAGTCTCTTTCTATCTCCCAGTCACTCTCTCTCAGTCACTTTCTCTCGGTCACTCTCTCAGTGACTCACTCTCTCTCAGTGACTCACTCTCAGTGACTCTCAGTAACTCTCTCTCAGTCACATTCTCTCAGTCACATGCTCTCTTAGTCACTCTCTCTCAGTCCCTTTCTCTCAGTCACACTCTTCCAGTCACATTCTCTCAGTCACTCTTTCTCAGTCACTCTCTCTTAGTCTCTCTCTTAGTCACTTTCTCTCAGTCACTTTCTCTCTTAGTCACTCTCTCTCAGTCCCTTTCTCTCAGTCACATTCTCTCAGTCACTCTCTTAGTAACTCTTTCTCAGTCACTCTCTCTTAGTCACTCTTAGTCACTTTCTCTCCGTCACTCTCTCTCTCTCAATCACTCTCTCAGAGTCTCTCTCTCTCATTATCTCTCAGTCAGTTTCTCTCAGTCACTATCTCTTAATCTCTCTCTCAGTCACTCTCTCTCTCTTAGTCTCTCTCTCAGTCACTATCTCTTAATCACTCTCTCTGTCACTCTCTCTCTCTCTCTTAGTCACTCTCTCTCTCTGTCACTCTCTCTCTCTTAGTCACTCTGTCAGTCTCTCTCATATTATCTCTCAGTCAATCTCTCTCAGTCACATGCTCTCTTAGTCACTCTCTCTCAGTCACACTCTTCCAGTCACATTCTCTCAGTCACTCTTTCTCAGTCACTCTCTCTTAGTCACTTTCTCTCAGTCACTTTCTCTCTTAGTCACTCTCTCTCAGCCCCTTTCTCTCAGTCACACTCTTCCAGTCACATTCTCTCAGTCACTCGCTCTCAGTCACTTTCTCTCAGTCACTCTCTTAGTAACTCTTTCTCAGTCACTCTCTCTTAGTCGCTCTTAGTCACTTTCTCTCCGTCACTCTCTCTCTCAATCACTCTCTCAGAATCTCTCTCTCTCTCATTATCTCTCAGTCACCCTCTCTCAGTCAGTTTCTCTCAGTCACTATCTCTTAATCACTCTCTCTGTCACTCTCTCTCTCTCAGTCACTCTCTCTCTTAGTCACTATGTCAGTCTCTCTCTCAGTCACTTTCTCTCTCTTAGCCACTCTGTCAGTCTCTCTCTCAGTCACTATCTCTTAATCACTCTCTCAGTCACTCTCTCTCTCAGTCACTCTCTCTCTTAGTCACTCTCTCTCTCTCAGTCACTCTCTCTCTCTCTCTTAGTCACTCTGTCAGTCTCTCTCATATTATCTCTCAGTCAATCTCTCTCAGTCACCCTTTCAGTCACTCTCTCTCAGTCACTCTCTCTCTCTCAGTGACTCTCTCTCTGGCTCTTTCAGTGACTCTCTCTCAATGACTCTCTGTCAGTCACTTTCTCTCAGTCACTCTCTCTCTATCTCTCTCTCTTTCAGTGATGTACCCTTTATCTACGTATAGAAATCATCTTTTGAATGATTTATTTACTTATTTCATATCATTTCATGTTATATTATTATTATATTTATATGCCACTCAGCACATTATTATTATTATTATTATTATTATTATTATTATTATTATTATTATTAATCATTATTATTGTGCTGAGAATGGCTGCGAATAAAACCAGAAGAGATCGAGTGAGAAACGATGTGATTACAAGAACTATTGGGCCATCGTTAAAGGGTCTCTCAAAGAATGAAATGGTTTGGTCACCTAATGAGAATGGAACCAACGATGCCAGCGAGAGCATACAACATGAAAATCGAAACACCAAGAGGCATCCGACCAAGAAGAAGATGGATTCTTCGTTCACGGACAACTTGAGACTTCATAACATCACGACATATGAAGCGACTGAGCGCGCCCTGGCTCGGTTGCCGATCATCTGATAGACTGCGACGCCTAGCGGCACAAGCAGATTTTGACAAAAGAAGAAGATTGTGCTGAGCCCATCTCTCTAGCGTAGTTGACTAAACATGATTGCGCGGTGAGCGGGTGACGAACTCCTTGTCGTCCGGGTTCATTCCCGGGAGTAGGCAGAAAAGTCACATTTCTCCCAGATTTACGGTATTTACAATGGAATCAAGGCCGAAGGGTTGCGATATCCACAGTACCGAGCCTAAGGGTTAACAACTCGTGGCTTCTGGATACTAAAACAAACAAACAAACAAACAAACAAACATTATTGTGCTGAATAACAAATAAACTTATTATTAAACTTGAAATATTGTGAAATGAATAATAAAATACTTTCAACAAAAAACTTCCATACGTGGTAACAGAGTGCCTCTGAGGGCCCCCACCAAATTATTGGGGATGGGGCGCCGAGGGTCTCTCCGCCGCAGCCCCCCTTCCCCGAACAGAAGCAATCATCCGGCGCCTTCGTTTGCAACATAGCTTCTCAGTCTTCCTAATGTGGCGACCCTCTAACATGTTGTGGCGACATCCAACCATACAATTATTTTCGTTGCTACTTCATAACTTTAATGAATTTGTATATTCCCATGGTCTTTGGGGACCCCTGTGAAAGGGTCGTTTAACACACAGGTTGGGAACCGCTGGTCTACAATCTATCTTCAGCGTTCTACCTAATCTAACGCCAATAAGGGCCCTTGTCCATGCCTTCTAAAGTGTTGGGCATATAGGGCTGGACAGATATTTTATAAACCAATAATATAAATAATATAATATAAACCTGTGTGGAGGATGTGGTCGGTAACACACATGCCGTCTTTATATCCTAAAAGCTTTTCCTGGTATCAATCTAAAGCTAGGTCGAACTGGGAAGTAAGGTTATTTTTTAGGGGGGAAAAATACTTCCCTGTTCAAATTTTAAACCCACGACTTTTGGATTCAAAGGCCGCTTCTAGCCGCAAGAAGACGGCGGCTTTCATTTGGTCAAGAGAAACACCAATGAAAGCCAAACTTTACTGGTCGCTGAGTAAATTACAAATATCAAGGAAAGATATAAACCTGAAGGAAAAGTATATCGGCGAGCTTCACAATATAATAAACACAAACAAAACGTGAACGTTATGGCAATGGAGCCTTTATCAGCACATACACAAATTAGACAATACTAAGCCAGGGGCCGGAACTCGAAGATAAGATGAAACTATAAGCAGTTCAGTCCCCTAGGATCCTAGATGAAGCTGTGTTGGCAGTTTAGTCCACTGGACGACAGAGTTCCCAAAGCGTATATAAAGCGATTTTTAAGAGATTTTGAGCTTTAATGGCTGTCACCTCCATGTCGTGGACACCCTTACCTTAAGGCAGTGAAGTTCTTACTAGAGACACCATTGCAAATATAGATTATCTATTTCAAGCGAAGGACAGAAGAAGAAGAAGATATGGCAGGCAATTAAATACATAATTCTTGTGTCCTGTGTCTGCAGGAATGGAAGAACGACAAAGCAAGGAAGTGGCAAAGTCATCAATTTGTCTACAACAAAGCCGGATTGGATCATGTCAGCTCAGTGCAGACAGACTTTCTTCTAGGTGGGTATACTGTTATCTCAATCAATCAATCAATCAATCAATCAATCAATCAATCAATCAGTCAGTCAATCAATCAGGTGCCATCTCCACAGTGGAGGTTGTCTGCAATGGATCTCCAACACGTTCTGTCTTTTGCCCTGGTTGCACACGTAAGTGTCCATGTTTGGCACTGATCGCACAGTGATGGCCAAAAAATAGTTCTGATATGATTCACTTGAGTACTCCTGGGCATCTGCTTGTGTGTTACCAGGGGAGATAGTTGCCACATTACTTGATTAGCTTCGGCACATCTCCAGCTAATTTCTCTGTCCAGTTTTCCGTCGGGTGTGAAAATTGCTCCCAAATACTTAAATTCCTGTTTGTCTTCAGGTGTTTTTTAATCTCATTTCTAAATTGTTTTCCTCCCATATTTGCTGTTGGTCCATCCCTTGATATTGAACCCTCGCGTATATCGTTGTCAACCTCTTGCTTTCTCGCCATCACATTTAGTATTTTTTTTTAAAAACAAATACTGTTTAAAAATAGTCTGTGGCTTAGGGGTAGTGAACGCTGTTTGCAATTCCGAGATACCCAGTTCGATCCCAGTTGCGGGCGATTTGTTAGCAAATGTAACTGCGCTGATTTTGCCATAAAATCAGGTGCATTGAAGCCGAACCTGGTGAGGAAGCGAGGGAGGCACTCGGGTCACAAAGCCCCCCCCCCCTCCCTCCACCGCCCTTTTTCCTCTCCCCATTTTGTGCGAAGACTATTGTATTGTTCATTTTACAGATCATTGCACATTAGACATGACCATAAGCGCTCCGATCTCCTCCTGAGTGTGTCTCCAAGTGTTTTTAAGCTAACACTTCCCATTCTGTTCTGGTTAATGTAACGACCAGTGGCTCCCGCATGGCTGTCCTGTCTCGCTGCTCCAGTTAGTACACCCAGGGTATGCAGTCTAGACAGTAAAAAAAAATTGTCCATGAAACTGAAAGCCTCACAGCCAGTTCTTTAGCACTGCAGTGCTTTCATAGCCAATCTTTCCTCAATGTCTTGTCTCTACAATTGTTTCGACATTTCATATTATTACAAGCATATTGTTATATTTGTGGGTCACTCAACATAGTGTTCATATTAGTTATATTAATATTATTATGCTGAATATCAAAACAAAGTCAGTAAAGTCAGTAAAGATCCTTTTCCGCGTATAGGGCATATAGGGCTAGACCTATATTTTATAGACCAATCGGCACTTAGTGGGTAATGTGGTCAGCATAATGCCGACCACCTTTACTTCACAGTACTGCACCCAGTACCCACTCAAAGCTGGGAGTCAAGGTCATTCTTGAAAAAAGTCCAGCTCCATCAGGACGCGAACCCAAGACCTTCCGATCCGTAGGCGGGCGTCTAGCCGCCAACGCCATGGCAACTTTTATCAAAATAAAGGATTCACATATTTCCTTCATTTGTGTAATTATTACTGAAGTATGCACCTGACCAGATATAGCGAAATATGCCATACAATTTACGGTGAAATCTATTGTTTTTGTCTGGTTTGATTAAATATTTAAATTCTCACTGCCAGGTCTGTTCACCCAGGATCATATGACGTATGACATAGATAGAAATCGTACGAAGGAACCTTCGATAGCAGAAATGACACAAAAGGCCATTGAGATTCTCAAGAAGAATAAACATGGTTTTTTCCTGCTGGTTGAAGGTAAGGTTTTTAACTCTTTGAGTCCGAATGAACGCAAGATGCGCCGATTTTACTCTCTTTTGATTACCTCTTGGACCTAGGATTCTAAACCCTCTGGGACTCAAAGAGTTAAAGCCATCAGAGTTCACTGTATTGATTTGATCATTTACATCGTGAGATATAATAGACTGAAATTGCTTGGGCATATTGAGAGAATGTCAAATGACCAAGAGATAAAAACTGTATACACATGGGAGCTGAATGGTAATAGACCACGAGGCAGACCAGGAAGACGATGGAGAGATAATGTCTAGACAGATCTGCAAACACTTGGTGTCACCAACTGGAAAGAGAAGGCCAACCAGAGAGATGAGTGGAGGCGGGTGATATCTGCAGCAAAAGAATATCAAGGGCTCGGAACACTGAAGACGATAAAGGGGGGGGTAAAGAATTGCACTTGAGATCCAAATCCACTGCCTTCAGGAATTTTCTTACCAGTCAGATTGTGTGTTCCCTACGTAGATAACCTGGTATTTTTTTTGCCGCGTGGAAAAATGAACAAATATAGATGTGTTCTAATTGTTAAGAAGATAAACGAATATTTAGCTGCTTTGTCTATGCCAAAATAAATGAATATGGAATTGTTCTATCTATGAGAAGGTAAATGAAAACTGATTTGTTGTGGGAAAGAAATTAAGATAGTTTAAATTGTTCTCTCTGTTGGAAAAGAAGAAACATATTGTTCTATAGAGTTATATTTAGTTATTCTATCTGCAAGTGGGAAATGTATATTGTGTTTTCTATCTAAAGATGGGGAAATTAAGATTTTAGATTTGTTCTATCTGTAAATATCGAGTTATTATGTCTTTAGGTGAGGAAAAAAATATAGATTTGTTCTATCTATCAATTTTGAATTATTTATTCTATATGCAGGTAGAAAAAGAAAGAAAATAAATTTGTCTTATCTAAGAATACTGAGTTATTCTCTCTTTGGGTGGGGGAAAAAAAAGAATAGTGCTTTGTTTAATCTATGAATGCTGAGTGGTTCTATCTGCATATGAGAGAAAGAATGAATACAGATTTGTGCTTTCTATGAATATCAAATTATTCTGTCTGCAGGCAGGAAAATTATGAAATATAGATTTGTTTTTTCTATGAATTTTGAGTTGTTCTATCTCTAGGTAGAAAATTATGAAACATAGATTTGTGCCATCTTTGAATATTGAGTTATTCTATCTGTAGATTAGAGAAAATGAATATAGATTTGTTAAATCTATAAAAAGAGTTGTACTCTCTGTAGGTGGGAAAATGATGGAATATAGATTTGCTCTGTCTATACATACTGTTATTCTAGCTTCAGGTGGGAAAATGAAGGAATAAATATTTGTTCTGTCTACGAATATTGAGTTATTCTGTCTCTATGTGGGGAAAATGATGGAATATAGATTTATTCTGTCTATACATACTGAGTTATTCTACCTACAGGTGGGAAAATGAAGGAATATAAATTTGTTCTATCTATGAATACTGAGTTATTCTGTCTGTATGTGGGGAAAATGATGGAAAATAGATTTGTTCAGTCTATACATACTGAGTTATTCTACCTACAGGTGGGAAAATGAAGGAATATAGATCTGTTGTTTATAGGAATATTGGGTTATTTTGTTTGTATGTAGGGAAAATGGTAGATTTGTTCCGTCTATGAATACCGAGTTGTTCTGTATGTATGTAGGGAAAATGGTAGATTTGTTCCGTCTATGACTACTGAGTTGTTCTGTCTGTATGTAGGGAAAATGGTAGATTTGTTCTGTCTACGAATACCGAGTTGTTCTGTCTGTATGTAGGGAAAATGGTAGATTTGTTCTGCCTACGAATACTGAGTTGTTCTGTCGGCAGGCGGGAAAATTGACCATGGCCATCATGACAGTCTGGCCCACTATGCCCTGTCCGAGCTAGTGGCCATGGCTGAAGCTGTGGACGTGGCAAAAAAACTGACCGATGAGACAGAGACTCTGATCGTGGTCACAGCTGACCACTCGCACGTCATGGACATTGCAGGTTATGCAACCAGGGGTACTCCCATTCTTGGTATGTGCTTTTCTTTAAGATCGCATTGTGTGTTTGCAGACTTAGGTATTAATTGTGTGGGCAACCCTAGGGACTACAAAGTTGGGTGTGCAATCCCTCCAATAGCATGAATGGAACAATCCAGGGGGCTTTATTAATATCCTTCCCCAAACGGGAAATCCACAGGTCACTGGGAAGTCTAATATTTCAGGGGATGGTAGATAGGCTTCAGTCGTGAAACCTAGGCTGCATGCACTCGTGGGACCAAAGCTGCACTCTCCCATGGGAGGTAGGTGAGTTAGGGTCAGTTCTAGATGTTTTGGGGTTGTTAAAAGCATCAGAAAGCCTAGAAATCCAGTTTTACCACCCTCTATAATGTTGGTCTGTCCTGTGACATCATCTGGGGTAAGATATTAATAAAGAACCCGAAGGTGTGCTAGTGTCGTGACTGCAGTAAAGTCCAAAGCAGACTGGCTTGCTGGCAGGGCCACGGTAGGTACAGGAAAAAAATCAATGGACCGGGAAGATGGGATCCGAGCGCTTATGGAGTTGTCTGATGTGCAGTGTGGATAATCTGTCGATTATTATTAACATAAAAAGGTAAAGTCGGGAGATGTGAACCACCGTCATTGCACACGGTTATAAACCATAAGTGTTCTGCCACCAGTACGGACAGCTGATAAGGAACTGAATGTCTGTGTCGTCGTCCGCTTGCAACTTTGTAGCTACAGCGACGTTCTTTCATTTATTCCAGAGTATTAACTCTGGTACCCATTTCCTAGAGGCTGGGTGAACCCCGGGAAGCGCCTGGTTTCGAACACCGGCCGTGGCAAATCGCAGCTGGATTTGAAAGCGAGTCTCGTATCGACTGCGCTAATGCGGCCCATTGATACTAACTAACCAAGAGAGGGGAGCCAGTCTCTGCCCCAAGGTTCACATAAAACACTGATACTCTTTTCAGCGTCGGCTCTGTGGCTAAGTCGATGCGAACGCTTCGTAATGCCAGGATGCGGGTTCGATCCCAGCTGCGGGCCATGCGCCTTGCGTTGGTTTCGACAGTGGTTTCAAGAAAGCCGACCGTCCAGAAAGCAATTTCAAACTACTGAACGTAAATTTGCCTAGAAAAACCACACAACAGCCAGGTGCTGTTTCCACTCTGACCAGATGATCAAACCATTAGATTCTTAGATGTTCTGTAAAATAATTCCTCAGACATCTGACCCATGCCTGCAATACTACCATCTGAATGAAGAGAAGCGCCAGGGGTTTGTAGTGAAAGCCAATGAAAAATCTTAAGTGCAGGACAGTCTAGTATATAATTACACACCATCCAGCATGAGAATGGAGGTGGAGGCAGTCACTGCAGCTTGCCAGTGGTTAAAGAACAATATGCATACACATGTCGTAATTGTAACGGACTCTGAAAGCGTGCTGAAAAAGGTAAAGACAGGATTGCTTCGAGCAGAGTGGCATGCTTGACTGGAAAGGTCACGGGTAGTGAGCATATTTTGGATATTTTCTCCAGGCGTGGTGGGGTATGAAAAGGCAGACAGATTGGCTGGATCTGCACCGCTGGGTGGTGAACTGATACATGACAAGGCAGATGTGGTCAGAGCCCTTTGGGAACAAGTAACGAGGTCAGAAGAGAAACTAGATTATTATGGGCTGGAGAGAATAAGGCATCTGGGTGTGACCAGAGGGTTCGGCTGGCACACACAAGACAGACACATAACCAGACTATGACCGACACCACTAGTATTGGAACTCTGCGCTGGATGGGGATTGAGTGCGTATGGGAATTCCCCGAGTGCTGTGATTTTAATTGTTAACCCAACTCAATTCAACTACTACCACTTGAATGTTCACATTTTACACCATGTCACCTTTCAGGTCTCAGCACTCTCGACTCCAAAACCTCCCTCAAAGACGTCAAGGACAGGAAACCCTACACAACCATCTTGTATGCTAATGGCCCGGGTTATGGAGTGCCAAGACAGAATCTGACCAATGTAGACACGAGTGGGTACCTTTCAATTGTTGTTGTTACTGTTACTGCTATAGTAGTATGATTGCTGTTATTGTTGTTGTTATTGTTTCTGATGTTGTAATGTGATTGCTGTAATTGTTGCTGCTGGTGTAGTATGACTGCAGTAATTGTTGTTATTGTTTCTGCTGTTGTAATATGATTGCTGTTGGTGTAGTATGATTGCTGTGATGGTTGTTATTGTTGCTGTTTTAGTATGGTTGCTGAAAGTTTTGTTGTTGTTGTTGCTGTAGTATGATTGCTGTAACTGTTGCTGTTATTGTTGCTGCTGTTGTAGTATGATTGCTGTAATTACTGTTGTTATTGTTTCTACTGTTGTTGTAGTATGATTGCTGTAACTGTTGTCGTTATTGTTTCCAATGTTGTTGTAGCATGACTGCTGCAATTGTTGGTGTAGTATGATTGCTGAAATTGTTGTTATAGTTGCTGCTGCAGTAGGATGATTGCTGTAAGTCCTGTTGTGATTGTTGCTGCTGCTATGGTATGACTGCTGTAATAGTTGTTGTTATTGTTGCTGCTGTTTTAGTATGATTGCCGTAACTGTTGTTGTTATTGCGGCTGCTGTATGATTGCTGTGATTGTCGTTATTACTGTTGCTGCTATTTTGGTATAACTGCTGTAATTGTTGTTGTTACTGATGCTGCAGTATGATTGTTTTAAATGTTGTTACTTTTGCTGCTGTTTTAGTATGACTGCTGTAACTGTTATTGTTTTTGTTGCTGTTGTTGTAGCAAGATTGCTATAAATATTTTTACTGTTTTTTATTTTTAATTCCTCCGTCTCCTGAAAAAATGCTCCCCCAAAAATGTAAAATCCTTTGCCTGCTAAACTGCTGTTCATCAATTTTGATATTGGTGGTTTTAAAGAGTTCTTCCTTTTCTGGAGAATGTCATCACTTGTTTTGTCTACGCTGATCTTCATATCGTAGTTGTCGCATTCTGAGTGGAGTCTGTTAATATGTTTGATGATAGTTCTACGTCTGTTAGTGCTATGAATGCCTGGTCATCGGCTAAAACCAATTCATTTAGTAATTCACTGATGTCCACTTCGCTGATTTACAAATTTGGTTGTGACAGTAGTGGTGATACAACACACCCTGTCTCACTCCAGATCTAATGTAGAACTTTTCTGACATTCCTGTATTTGTTCTAACTATCCATGATATGGAGGTGACAGCCATTAAATCTAGCCACTCCAGCGACGGAGTTACCAAGTCTCTTGAAAATAGCTTCGTATCACTTTGGGAACTCTAGCGCCAAGTGGACAAAACTGCCAACACAGCTTCACCTAAACTTTAGGGGCGGTACTGCCTACACAGTTCCATCTTATTCTCGAGTGATGGCCTCTGGCAATCCCCGGATATTAATTTTCCCGGCCCCTCGTGAATCACCAGACTATTGTCTTGACATCGACCTGGCTGCCATGAGATACGAAGATAAGTGATATGGGATATTTGTGTAGTATTGTCTAACCTATGTATCGGTTATGTTTTGTTTGTGTTTGTTAAATTGTGAAGCTCGCTGATATACTTTTCGTTTGGTTTTTATATTTTCCCTGATATTTTTCTAACTGTGCACTGACAGTTCACATACAAACTCTTGCACAATTTAACAAGGTGCTTGTTTACTCCATACTCCTGTAGGACCTTCCATAACTTATACGTATTAACTCGATGAAAAGCTTTCTTGTGATCTACGAATGCGACATTAATTCTTTATCAAATCCTACTGAATCCATACAATATACTACACACACATACAGACTGCAATCCCAGCAAACCCAGTTACCTAGGAAAAGGAAAAAGAAAAACAAGCAGGAGGAGACAGGAGAAAATGTGGTTAGGACAATAAGTAGTTCCCAGGTGAACTGCAAAAACAGGAAAATTAAAGAAAAGACAAATGTTCTGTGCAGGGCCATAAAATATTGCCATAACCCAGGCAGTGAATATGTGAATAGCTGAGTTACACAACAACAACAACAACTACACAAGCAACGACCTAGACAGACCATGTGCTGAACTACAGTTCTATCTTAAATCAAACAAATGAATATAACCATCACATTCAGCATCTGTTTATTTTCCTGAACACAAAATTAACATGTTTCACAGATAAAATACATTAACAATCAACATCGTGTTCACACAGACCATGTGCTAAGCACTTCAGCTAACAATGAAAAAGTTGACTTTCAGCGACTTGAAATAATAAAATCCCTGAGCAATGATACACACTGATATCTAGATCTAACACGATATAACTACTGGAAGGAATTTTGTTCCTGCACCGTCTAACTATTAAAAACGTACCAACAAGAAAAATCAGTGAGTCACTCCATCTCACTCAGCTTAGTCTGCCGCAACTACACTGCACTATACCATATGAGGTTATTCAATGGTCAGGTAGCGACCAGAGGGACCAGCCGAGAACACAGAGACCTTCTCTCTCTTTTTTTTAAATAAACTTCTGATCTCAGAGCTAGCCAGTATTATTCCCAAGTGCAACCAAACTAAAGTTTTCAGCAGCTTTGCCAGCCTGCTATGCCCACCATCCACACATACACACACACACACACACACACACACACACGCACGCACACACATTAAACGCACAAGATTTCAGTTATTTTCCCTAATATTGCAAACAACTCTCTCGATTTCTGATACGGAATTCAGCCTAGCGTTTCCAGCTTCTAATAATAATGTTTATACCATTTGTTTCTCATTTCAGTGCTTGTTTAGTAATTATTTGCTTATTTTGTCTCAGAGTGTGTCCAATATATCTCCACCTTCTTTGTCTTATTGCAGTCGATACCAGCATTTGTTCATATATTTCCTCTGATCTCTTTCGCTGTTGTTATTTGTTTGTTTGTTTCTTAATTTGTTTTATTTTACCTTTACAACAGGCAATACAAGTTACATATTCCAGTCTGCAGTGCCCATGTCTTCAGAAACTCACGGAGGGGAGGATGTTACAATTTATGCCAGTGGTGAGTCGTAGTTAGACGCTCATCTGCGATCTGAAGGTTGTGGGTTCAAATCTGATTGAAGCCGGACTTTGTCAGAAATGACCTTGGTTCCTGGGTCTTCCCAGCATTAATTAGTTAGTTAGTTAGTTAGTTAGTTAGTTAGTTGGGTTATCATCATTGCACTCCGGACATGTCCATAGGTGCTCAGATCCTCCCCTCAGTATGAACCCCAACGTCCGATGGCTAATAGTACCAGTTCTATGTTGATTAACAAGTCTTCTGACGTGTGCGTCTCGTTTTTTGCTGTGCCGATCTTAATTCCCAAGTTACCCAGCATTAAATGGGCACCAGGTAAAGTCATGGAAAGTAAAGGAGGCTGAAATGATGCTGACCACATAATTCATGGAGAGCTGATTGGTAGATAAAATATAGGCCTACCCCTATATATACTGAAGGTAAAGTTTGCCTCGAAAAATCACAACAGCCCAAAAAATGCTGGGGTTGTTTCTGCAATGTCCTGTAAAGGTTAAGCAACTAACTTTTTATCCCTACAGATACAGAAGGGATAAGAAAACGGAGAAGACCAAGAGAAACCCTGTGTAGAACTAACTGGGGACTGAGTGGTCTCGAGGCATGAGGTCGGCCTCGAGTGCTGGAGGTCCCAGGTTCAGGCCCTGGTAAAGGCTACGATTTTTTCACTTGGACCTGGCTAGTAAGATCAGACGCTCGTGTGTATTTTTGTGCATGTAAATATCCCTTGGCAGTTTTGGAAATCGAAAAGAGTAGCCTATGGCACTGTCCAGGCAAAATCTGGAGTTTAAAATCTACCCGAAGTATTTCAGGATCCTCGCCAGTGCAACAGAGTTCATGCACTGAGATTCTTTGGACTCAGGCTTGAGTCAGAAGTACAACGGAGCATTTATGGGTAATCCTTTGTGCCATGACGCTGATTCGTTGTTTACACCTTACAAAACCATTGTCAAAGAAGGCGCAACCATGGGCTTAACAAACATCTAAGACCTAAAACAGGTGGCAACGAATCACCAGACATGCAGAGCTATGACCTCTGCCCTATGCGCTGACCTAGGGTCAAGAAGAAAGATTACCTAACTATGTGAACAATACGTGAGAAAGGGTTACTTACTTTACTTCAGTCGTAGTTACATTTCCTAGGCTAGGATGAGATTCACTACCACGATATTATCAGATCAGGCGCCGGTCTTCACCATAAAGATACCTCCTGTCTTACGTCTCTGTAAAAAAATGTGGTAAATATAGATAGACATATAGAATATTCCATGCAATCTTTCTTTGTCAAGAGAATTTTCAAGAGCTATATAAATCCTATCTTGATGTATCAGATCAGGTGTCAGTCTTACCAATAAAGATTCCTCCTGTCTTACGTCTCTGTAAAACAAATGTGGTAAAAAAAGATATATAGAATATTCTATGCAATCTTTCTTTGTCAAAAGAATTCTCAAGAGCCATATAAATCCTATCGTGATGCATCAGATCAGGTGTCAGTCTTGTCAATAAAGATTCCTCCTGTCTTACATCTCTGTGAAAAAAATGTGATTAAAAAAAGATATATACAATATTCTATGCAATCTTTCTTTGTCAAAAGAATTCTCAAGAGCCATATAAATCCTATCTTGATGCATCAGATCAGGTGTCAGTCTTGTCAATAAAGATTCCTCCTGTCTTACATCTCTGTGAAAAAAATGTGGTTAAAAAAAGATATATACAATATTCTATGCAATCTTTCTTTGTCAAAAGAATTCTCAAGAGCCATATAAATCTTATCTTGATGCATGGAAGTGAATCATAACCAGGTGGATGATTAGTGAAAACTTGTGGTTTTATAGACGAATGAGGAGAATACACTGTGCAGATAAGATAGAGTAATGAATATGTCTTGAACGAAACTGACTCATGAAGACAACTGACTGAAGGGACAAGAGGAAGACAGAGAGAACGAGAGAGAAGATGCTGGATAGTCTGACACCACTGCATCGAAGATTATCTGTGTCAGAGTTGACTGAAAGTACACGAGATAGAAAGAAGGTTGTGGATAGATTTGACTACCAACACCACTGACTATTCTTCTTCTTCTTCCTCCTCTTTTTCAGCATTCTGAGCCCTTGAGGTTCATTGCTGCAGATATCACCTGCCTCTACTCATCTCTCTGGTTGGCCTTATCTTTCCAGTTGGTGACACCAAGTGTTTGGAGGTCCATCTGGACATTATCTCTCCATCGTCTTCTTGGTCTGCGAGCATACATCTCCCTTGTGTATCCAGTTTGAACCTCTCTGCCATCCAACACCTTCTCAATATGCCCCAGCTATTTCAGTTTATTAGATCTAAGGATGGCTGCCAGTGATCAACTGTGACTTTAAACAGTTTATACCACCGACAATAGTTAGATAGTTAGTCGACAGATTATCCTCATTGCACGATCGAAACCACTCGGTCCATAAGTGCTCGGATCCCCTCTTCAGTGAATTCTGCAGCATGTAGCGGCTGACAACACTAGTTCTGTGTTTATTCTTCTTCTTTGGCTTCCCGCGTAGTGTTCTTGTTTGGCGACACCCCGTTTAACTTGCTGTTCTTGCAGTCTGACCATAGTTGCAGATTCACAGTTCTCACTTGGTTCACGTAAACATCTTAACTCTCTTAGCGCATTCAGAAATCAGGCTGGTCCATGGCTTGTCCGGCTTTCACAGTAGCCTTACCTGCAAGCCTATCAGCTTGCTCATTTCCTCGTACCCCGACATGTCCTGGCACGAAAATGAAACTAATCCTTGTCAGCCGTGAACGCTGACGAGTACACCACCGACTATCAGAAGAAGAAATACAGGAACAATACTACAGATAGCAGAGAGAGCAATAAATCAAAGTACAATGAACGACACATAAATATTGTTACAGTATTAGGACATCAGGCCAAAAATATCTTGCTGACCGCTGGCACTTTGAAAAGTCACTGTTTCCATCTAGGCTTTGCTGACCCAAATTCCTTATTTCGGGCCGGGCAGTTCAAAGGTTCTGTTGCCCAGTTACTGAGCTGAGTGCTTGGTGCAACACAGGAAGCTGTAGACAGCCTATGGAATGCTCTTTTTGTGTGCCCACATCGTGTTGTTGACTGCACCAAAATGGCGGGTTCAGAATGGTGTTTCACGGGTGCAGTGACGGCTTTTGTGATTAATGGTTGCACCAACAGGGAGCTGTAACTCTAGTATGGGACCTTTAGTGTTGGCCCAAATGAAAGCTGCCTTATGCAGGTGTTTACCTTGAGTGTGCAAGCTTCAAGATTTTACTAGGGCTGTCACGTTTGTTTTCTAGTTTTCAAATGGAATAATAATGAAGCACATTTTATGTGATTTGTACTGAGCGAATGAACGAACGAACAAACTTTATTTTTAAAGGGTTCAGAATTGGGCACACAGATCCATCTTACATTCTGCCTTTCTGGGCTTACTCTATGCATACATTATTCCATTCACACATCGTTTTAGCAGATTATAATAATAATAGACATCATCAACAACATTTTCGTAACAATGTGCTTTAAGTATGCCTACATTTTTAAGCAATTTTAATAATAAGTATAATCAATCTTGGTGGAAATCAACAAGATACTAAGGATACTATTATCTTCTAAGGGGGCATGTAGCCTGTTCTACCAGTTACTGTCTTTGTGATACGACTTTTGAGGTGCAGATCATCGCGGTCTGAGAAGAATGGCGCCGCGGGGAGTTACAAGGGGGTCTGGCTGACGCTTGCCAGAGACTCTATTTGTGATACGACTTTTGCGGTGTAGGCAGGGGACTCTCTGAGCCCGAGGATCTACGGCCACATGGCTAGTGCTGTTGCCACGCACTGTGCAGGTGGGGATTTTATTTTGCTCCTGACAGAAAAATCCGCAGCCTTACCGAGGATTTGAACCTGGGTCTCCTGCTTGAGAGCTCAGCGTTTCTAACCATTTGGCCAGCTGCTGCTCATATAGTCTGTAATGAGTTAATATTCAAAAAGCTTCCAAATGAATTTATAGTTGTTGATTATTTTTTTTTATTTGATGTGGAGCAGTACTGAAGTGATGTTGGAAGACTGAATAACATAAATATAACTACATTTTTCTTTACATTTCTTAACTCTACTTGCTTGCTTTCAGGGCCTCAGTCTTTCCTGTATACTGGAGTACACGAACAGAACTACATCCCAATGGTCATGGCATATGCATCTTGTGTAGGGCCATACGGCAAGGGAGGCAAACCTTGTGCCAGAGATCAAGTGACAGCCCTTAAAGCAGGAACCTGTGTAAGTTGGGAAAAAAATGCATTTTTGTGGTTTACTCCAGAATTTTCTAAAACATATTTCCTGCCCACTAAGATCTTTTGTTTCCCAGCTACCCCATCTTACAGTCTCCCACACAAACTACCTTGTCATTTGTGCTGTCTCGTTCTCTTTCACAAACTATCTGGCTATCTATAATATCTCTGTGTCCCTCAAACAAACTATTTGGCTATCTATAATATCTCTGTCTCCCAAACAAACTATTTGACTATCTATAATATCTCTGTCTCCCAAACAAACTATTTGACTATCTATAATATCTATCAGTCTCCCACACAAACTATTTGACTATCTATAATATCTCAGTCTCCCAAACAAACTATTTGACTATCTATAATATCTCTCAGTCTCCCACACAAACTATATGACCACATAAAATGTCTCTTAGTCTCCCAAAAAAACAATATATGACCACATAAAATGTCTCTAAGTCTCCCAAAAAAACAATATATGACCCCATTTAATGTCTCTTAGTCTCCCAAAAAAAAAACAATATATGACCACATAAAATGTCTCTAAGACTCCCAAAAAAAAAACAATATATGACCCCATTTAATGTCTCTGAGTCTCCCAAAAAAAACTATATGACCACATATAATGTCTCCCAGTCTAGCATTTTATTCCAATTTTCTGACTGCATAAAGATAGTCCTTAATGTACTTTTTTATATGTCTGAAATGCAGCTTTTGTATGTAACTGCTTTATCTGCAGGTTGGAGCATCCTCAAACGCTGGACCCGAGGTTTGTTCATCCAGTTCTTGGATTGTGTTTGGGGTTCTTCTCCTCCTTGTCTTGAAGCAGCTTCAAGAAGTCTAGCCAGGGTTTTCTCCAGACGAATGATGTGAAGTAAACAGCCTTGTGAACATAAGTTACGCCAACACTATTTGATATGAAACTGTGCTTGTGTAAAGAGAAAAGGTGCCTGAGTTAGTGGCGGACAAATCTAACTAAAAATGTGGCAGATTTATTGTATAAGTGAAAGCAGCACTTTCACATGTTATGACTATCATCAACAACATCATTTAATTTGTATTTCATTGTTAAGGTATAAGGATCCTAAACCTTTTTACCATCATCATCATCAATTGTAACTGACTCACAGAGCATGCTGAGAACGGTGGAGACAAGCATGCTCCGTGCAGAGTGGCAAGCATCAATTCAGAGATCCAAGGTAGTTATCGGCCTTTGGATATTTTCTCCAGGTGATGCTGGTGTGTTGGGAAATGAGCAGGCAGATAGACTGGCTGGCTCTGCACCACTTGGTGGTGAACTGATGTATGACAAGTTAGATATTGTGAGGGCCCTTTGGAGCGAGTGAACAGTGAGGGGAAAGGCAAGACGGATATACAATCAGACCGTTATTGGTGCCATCAGAATTGGAACTCTTCGCTTGCTGCTGAAGATGGGGGATGGAGCGCTTATGGGAGTGTCCCACGTCCTATGAAGTCGATTCCTAATTCAACATAATCATCATCATCATCACGACATTGTAAAGGTATAAGGATCCTAAACCTTTTTATCATCCTCATGCTCTCATTGAAAAGATTAAGAATTGTTTAACCTCATTATCATTGTCAGAATGATTAACATCATCAGATGGCAATAGTTTTTTATTTGATATTTGTAAGCTTATTAATAAATTAAGTTATAATTATTACATTAAACAAGTTAGGTTCCCCATGTGGGTTCTGGGGCCCTGTTATAGGGAAAACAAGAATAGACCCATAAGCCTACGCCTAAGAGTCGACTAATTGGGAGCTTCCTTCAGAGTGCATCTGCCTTAGAGGCAAGGAACCAACAGTCTGCATACAAATTAGTCAGATCTGTAAAACGGATGTACACGCAACTTTCAAGTTCTGGAACAGGACTGCAGTCCAAAAGTGGACGAACAACCAGAAATTTCCGCCAGAGTTTACAGCTGTTGAATGCGAAGAAGAAGAAAATAAGCTGAAAAACACAACAACAAAACTTTGAAGAAGAAGCCAACATTATTTGGAATTATATTCAAATGAAAAATCTATTTCGCCATATTTTCATTTACCCTCTTAGAAAGCTTATTTCTAATTGTATGGATGAGGGTCATTTTGCCTTTCTACAATACGGTTGCGAGTCGAAGAAAGTTTGGGAAGCGCTACTTTAGACAGTTTTTTTGTCGTACATGTTTGCCTTACAAGCATTTTGTGTTGTGGTTTACAGCCAAGCCGTGATATCTGGGCCTTTAGACCCAAAACATCTAATTTCACTGAACTTTACCTGGTGGTCTTTTATGAGTGTTTGGGGTCACAACACCAAATTTTTTTTAAATTCTATTTTTTTTAAGTTAACAATGTCAGACCAATTATTTTACTATGGTCATTTTTAGCAATATATGTCAATACATTTTTACACCAGAATCCTAAATTTTCAGAAACAAAGATAAGTATTTAGAAATAAATGATTTATTTATGAGCTTTAATCACATATGAAGCCTATGAAGTAATTTCTTTCTTTAAAAAAGCTCCCAAATATTTTATTTTAAGAATTAAAAAACGTAGGCTCCTTGAAACAGGCACAAAATGCAGATCGTAAAGAAAGAAAAATTTCATTTAAAAAAAAAAAAAAAAAGAGATTTTATTAAATATAATTTTTCTTTAAAAAAAAAAAAAAAAAAACCAGGCTCATTGTTTATAAAATTCTATGAGTCCAAGTGGGTTTAGCATCATAGGCCAATAGGGTAGAAAAGATAGACATACAATTGGCGCATCAGGAATTATTTGGGCTTCTAGGTAGGTACCTATCAATGTATGATGCGTTCTTTGGGACTCAAAGCGTTAGGGAGTATCACACAAAATTTCCGGTTTCTAGTCTTTACATCATTTGAGATTTCCAGCCCTACAAGTAGGTAAGTTGTACCCCACCAGGACATCACACAAGCGATAAACACCCGGTGACGCAAAGTGCCACCATTCAGATGAGGATCACCCGTGGAGAGGTACCGGAAACCGTGTTCAATCGTTAGGTTATATTAGGGCTCCCGGCAACAGCCAGGGTGGTGCTTTAAAATAAAGAAAAATGGCACCCAACATGGGGATGATGAAGTTAATTATTTCCAGACATTAAACAAACAAATGGGAAAAATTGAATTGTGAGTAAATTGTATTTTAAACATTTGAAGTCAAAAAAAAATATTATTAATAGAGAAAGAAAATGTTGTTACGCAGTTTTCGGGTTTTGCAACATATACATAGAAAATCCCATATAAATTTACCAATTAGGCACACCAGAAACATAGAGTTAGTCCTCTATTACTTCATGCTGTTGTTCTAGCTCGTATCACATTTTTTTAACTGGTTTTTTTTTTCTTTTCCACTTTGATAGACTTAACATTTTTACCTTGAGAACTCTTTAAAAAAATTTAGATCATGACACTGCTAGGGATTCTTCGTGGTCTAGTGGCTAGACACTCGCCTGCGGATCAGAAATTTGTGGGTTCAGTTCCTAACAGGGGCCTGGCTTTTTTTCAAAATGACCTTGGCTTCCAGGTCGACCCAGCCTTGAGTGGGTACTAGGTACAGTCCTGGGAAGTAAAGGCGGCCGGCGTGATGCTGACCACATCACCCACCAGTGCCTTTTGATCTATAAAATATAGGTCTAGCCCTATATACCCAATACGCCTGAAAGCATGCAAAAGGGTTCTTACATCAACATAAAATGAAACACACACAAAATGAATAAATTCCCTGAAATACGAGTTATGAATTATAAAAAAAAAAGAAAAAAGTAAAGATCCCTTTTCACGCCTTTCGGCGCATCGGGCATATGGGCAGAGCGTCCCATATTTTTACAGACCATCAGCACTCGGTGGGTAATGTGGTCAGCATTACGCCGGCTGTCTTTACTTTCCCAGGACAGCCCATCCTGGTACCCATTTTAGGCTGGGTCGACCTGCGACGTCCCATACCACGATAAAAATCCACGCAGCCCGCAGTGGGTTTCGATCGCGGTATGCTGGCTTACGAGTCGGACTCGCAACGCCTTAGCCACGGACGCCGCATGTTATGAATTATAAGTTAGATTATATTCATAGCACTCCAGATACATCCATTGGTGCTCAGATTCCCTCTTCAATATATTCATCAGCTTTGCATGGTTAATACTACAAGTCCTGGGCTAGTTGACAAGACTTTGTGTGTGTCCGGTGTGCTTCTCATGCTAGGGTGTGCCGATCTTTACTACCAATCCTCGTATTTTTACCAGTGATGTGGACACATTGCTTCCAAGATCCTTAGAACGTCCTATCCCTCTAAGGGCAATGACAATGTCTGCCTGATCCATGAGCCAGTCATCTGCAATTATTGCAGCACCTGCAAGGAAGATTGGCTAATAAACAGCATCTTTTCTCGGAAGCTGTAATATTTTGGACATATCAATCTTCATGGCGGACCGAGGAAAAAAATTATAGCAGAAGGCATGGTACCAGGAAGGAGGGGCAGGGCCGACCGACACGAAGATGGGCACAGGATATAAGTGACTCCTTGAATATGAAAGTGCATGAGGTGGTTGAGCTGGCGAGAGACAGAGTTTCTTTCAGGCAGACTGTGATGAGAGCGACGTTCTGCAAAGGACCTGCTACATGTTGTTGTTGATTCAAAACAGGGTTGGTTCCTATAGTGAATTTAAATAATTTTTGGCATTATCGAGTGCCATGGTGGGTTAGTAAGAGTGATAGCAGAAGGTATGTACCAGAAAGGAAGGGTAGAGCCCGACCATCATAAAGATGGACACATGATATAACTGACATGTGTGAATTAATGCATGAAAAGGGTGGAGAAAGAGGGGTGGGGGGGGGGGGGAACTCCTGCCAAGGACCTGCTACAGGATAACAATGAAGGATACAATATGATACTTTTATTACACTACAAAGCTATTTGTTACATGTAAGGATACTTCTCTTCTGCTTCTTCTTTGCATTCACTGGCTTTAAACTCTGGCAGAAAGTTCTGGGTGTTCGTTTAACTTCCAGTCTTGTTCCAGAGCCTAAGTTTTGCATGCACATCCGTTTTACATACAGATCTAGCTTATTTGTATGCAGACTCTTGGTTCTTTAATTCTCAGCCAGATGAATTCCAACTTTGAAGGAAGTCCCCAATTAGTCAACT